CAACCCAATTCTAGAGTTAATGAAAAAGGAAGGTGGAGGAGGAGATGCAACCAAACATCATCATTTTCCAAATTCATATTTCCATATTAGGAATCAGAAATCATTGTTGGACCCAAATTTGATAATGAAGGTGGTTGGAACATCAATCGCATTAGAATCTTGGAAGTTTAATTTGTGCGGTGAGCCTTCAACTTTTAACTTCATTGCATCTATGGACCACAACTTGATAATGAAGTCAATGCTGAAGGAAGGTTCAACATCTGTTATAATAAATCCACCCTCATTCCCACCATCACCCAAGTCACCAAACCTAAATTTGAATGCAGTATCAACCAGGTTCTCATTCCTGTCAACAACCTCATTTTATTACTTCTTTATTTAGAAGATTACAATCAAAGAGTGGAAATATCCCTAATTCATAGGAATCTAATTATTTAAGTGTTGTTATTGCATTTCCTAATTTAGCTCTCCAATCTTGTATATATGACTGATGTATTTGAGCAATAAAACCATTCGATTCTACCCTAATATTTGAGAAGATGAGATGAGGTATTATTAAGTTTTATCTTTTGTGCATATGTGTACTGTTACATTTAACATGGTATCAAAGCTCTCAAATTCTAGAAGCCACCTCTGACTGTGCAAACCAAAATCCTAGACGACAACCTTCATTGTTGTCACTCATCCCAAAACCCTAGACGGCAGCCTTCATTATTGTCACTCGTCCCGAAATCCTAATCGACAACCTTCATTGTCATCGTAATTTAACTTGTTATTCCTTGCACCTTGTTTTATTGCTGCCATGGTGGATTTAGTTGATACAACAACTAAAATAGGGGATAATAAATCCCTAATTCATGGAGAACTTCAAAATCTCAACACTACTTGCAGATTGAATAGGCAAAATTATTTGAAAAGGTCATAGCTTGTTCGTACTACTTTGAAAGGTAAAGGGAAAGCCAACCACTTGACTGATGATGCCCCAAAAGAGGAAGATCCCAAATTTACAAAATGAGAGGAAGAGGACTCTGATTATGGAGTGGCTGCGGAACTCAATGATTCTAGAAATCAGTGATACTTGCATTTTTCTTAATTCTACAAAGGAGGTTTGGAATGCTATAGAGCATACTTACTCCAAAGCTAAGGATAGGGCCCCCCAGAACCAAGACAAGGAGGTGGGAAAAAAAAGGAGACAACATAAGAAATGGAGGATAGGCACACATAGTTGTTGTTGGAACTAGTGAAGAAAACAAAGGAGATTTTGATTCAACTCAACCATAATGAAATAGAGAAGAAGTTTCCTTTTGTCAACTCAATAAAGGAGATCATTTCTCAACAAATTAGATATGTCAACAAGTAGTTCAGGTACGTGTGGAAAGTTTCCTTTTGTTTTTGGACTCAATGTCTCAGATAGATTCTATAAACTGACCACATGACACCCCTTTCCAAGCACTTCTCCTCCTACGCCTCTTGTCCTAGCAATAAGAAAATATTCACAGCAGATGGTGTTACCATCACTATAGCAGGACAAGGAGAAGTTCAAATAAACCCATCCATAACCCTTCAAATGTCCTTCATATTCCCAAATTGTTCGTTAATCTGATTTCCATTAAAAAGCTCATAAAAGACCTATCATGTAATGTTGTGTTTTGTGATAATGTTTTATATGCTGCGGTAAAACACCCGAGAAGGAGGATTGGACATGTTAAAGAATGGAATGGCCTCTATTATTGGAACAACTCAAATCTGCCCCCAAACTTAATAACAGCAACAACAGTTGCTCTACACCATTAAGACCAATAGGGAGAAGGTCCTTCTACACCATTGCCATCTTGGTGAAAGTAACTTTATTGCTCAAGAAAAGACACATCTCTAGATACAAAGAACTTTTTGAATATTTGGGTGTATATCATTTGTCCATGTCCATAGTGGTACTAGAGGAAAACTTGATCTTAGAGCCTTAAAATATGTCTTTGTAGGATACTCATCCACACAAAAGGGCTACAAATGTTATCAGCCACCATCCAAAAATTTCTTTGTATCTAGAGATGTCACTTCTCTTTAGCAACAAAGTTACTTTCACCTAGGTCATCTTCAAGGGGAGAGTATAAGAAAGGAAGATGATCCTCTGCTAATGCCTCTTGAATTCAGTCTTGGACTAGGAGTAGAAACTGAAAATGAAATAGAATCAGAGAAAGAGGTTCAACCCACTAAATCCACTAAAGATGAGGATGATCCAAGATTTGGAAAAAATCTTGTTTATACAAGACAAAGCCCATTCCATAATTTATCCATGTCCATGAATCCAATCCAACATTATATGTGGTAACTACTTTCCCTGATTCTGTAAATTCTAGTGAATCTATCTCTGATTTCTCAACTACACAGGAACCTAAGTCCTGTTCACCAACTTATGAGGATCTAGACATTCCAATTTTCTTAGGAAAGAGACTAGAAAATGTAGCACCAAGCCACATACCTTCTAGCCAATTACCTATCTTTTAAATACTTCTCACCTATTCATAAAGTCTTCCTTACAAGCTTAAACACCACCACAACTCCTACTCCCTATTTGAGGCATTGGCAAGAAACAAGCCATGGACCTGGAGACACTAGAAAAGAATAGTACTTGGGAATTGGTCACTCTACCAAATGAAAAAAAAAAAAAATCAATAGGAAGCAAATAGGTATATACTATAAAATACAAAGATCCATTGAAAGGCACGAGACAAGGTTAGTAGCCAAGGGATTCACTCAAATTTATGGAGTGGATTACTTGGAAACATTTGCTCCAGTTGCAAAACTGAATATAATTAAGGTGATATTATCCCTAGCAGCTATCTAAGGTTGGAACTTACAATAATTTGATGTAAAAAATGTGTTCCTCCATGGAGAACTTAAAAAGGATATTTACATGGAATTGTCCCTAGGATATAGTAAGAAAACTATTGCCAACACTGTTTGCAGGATGAAAAAAGCATTAGCATGGTTTGGAAGGTTTACTAAAGTCATGAGAAGTTTGGGCTTTAACCAAAGCCAAGGATACCACACACTGTTTGTCAAACACACTAAGTCAGGGGGAGTGGCAGTGTTGTTGGTGTATGTCGATGATATTATAGTGACAAGTGATGATGAAAAGGGAAACCGCTGCTAAGCCAACATCTAGCCAAGGAATTTGAAATCAAGACCTTAGGAAAAATGAAGTATTTTTTGGGGATTGAAGTAGCCCATTCAAAAAAGGGAATTTTCATATCCCAACAGAAATACATTACAAACCTATTAAAAGAAACTGGTAGGCTAGCATGTAAGCCTATAAGTACACCGATTGATCCAAATTTGAAGCTGGGAAATCGAAAAGAAGATACAAATGTTAACAAGGAAATGTATCAAAGTTTAGTTGGCATACTCATATTTGTCTCACACTAGGCCTGATGTTGCATTTGCAATGAGTCTAGTCAGCCAATTCATGTACCAACCAAGGAGATCCACTTACAGACTACACTAAGAATTGTGTAGTACTGAAAAGGGACCGTAGGCAAAGGAATTCTATTCAGACGAAATGGGAATGTGAGGCTAGAAATATATACAAATATTGATTATACATGGTCAATTGTGGATAGGAGATCAACTACTGGATATTACACCTTCCTTGGTGGGAATCTTATAACTTGGAAAAGTAAAAAACAAAATGTGGTAGCAAGATCCAGTGTTGAAGCAGAGTTCAAGGCAGAGTTCAAGGCAATGGCATAAGGAATCTGTGAACTACTATGGTTGAAGATTATCTTAGAAGATTTGAGAATAAAGAGGGATGAACCAATGAGACTTTATTGTGATAACAAGTCTGCTATTAGCATAGCCCATAATCCAGTGCAACATGAACACATTGAAGTTGACATATCAAAGAAAAATTAGATAGTGGTCAAATTTGCACCCCATATATCTCTTCACAAGACAACCTTGCAGATCCTCTAACAAAGGGGCTAAATAGCAACAACTTTGAAAGGATTGTTTTCAAGCTAGGAATGGAAAATACATATTCACATGCTTGAGGGGGAATGTCAACAACCTCATTCTATCACTTCTTCATTTAGAAGGTTACAATTAAAGAGTGGAAATATCCTTGATTCATAGGAATCCAATTATTTAAGTGTTGTTATTGTATTTCCTAATTTAGCTTTCTAATCTTGTATATATGACTGATCTATTTCAGCAATAAAATCATTCAATTCTACCCTAATATTTGAGAAGATGAGATGAGGTATTATTCACTTTTATCTTCTATGTATATGTGTACTATTATATTCAACAATTCCTATAGCAGAAAAACATCACAATGATTTCAAGAAGGAAAAATGAAGATCATGATGATGAAGATAAGCAATGTTATCAAAACCTCCACCATTCCAACCATGAGGACAAGGTTGATTTTGGGTAGGGTGTATTGGTAGCGTATAAGGTGAAGTTAGTAAGATAGTTAGCATATTAATGAGTTAATTAGTTTCTTGAGGTCTTATTTAGATATAAATAAGGTAAGAAGAATAGAAGGGATTTCATTTTTGTAAGGAGAAAATAGGAATGAATCTTCTTCCAAATTAGCTCTCTGTGAAAGGAGAAATCCTTTGTGAAGGGGAATCTTTTCAATCTATTTAATAAAAAACTTTCTTTTTCATTTCAATTCTTAGTTCCTAAGAGAGTTTGATGATGAAAATAGGAATGAATCTTCTCCCAAATTTCTTAAGAGTGGATAGAGCCAAGAATACAACAAGAATGGCACAAGAAAGACATGATTGTAACAAGCTAACAAAATCTAATCTTTTTGCTCCTGACAGTTGGTTTAATTGTGTGGAATGACAGACTTATAAGGTAGTTAAAATGACACACTTATTCTTGTGGGGTATTGAAGGTGGAAGCACCTCAATAGGGAATACCGTTTGCAGTAGATGTATTGTTCTTCAAATATGGTCTATAAACCAAAGTATTCTAGTAAAAAATAATTGTGTTCAATCCTTGAGTCCAATGGTTTCCAATTGTTGTTTCTGGTTCCAAGTAATCATTGTTAGGTTTATGATTGCAGAATGCCCATCTTGGATATGCCCGAATATAACAATACATATTATTTTCAAAGAATTACCTATAATTGGAGCAATAGATTCCGTTGATGTTTCTAAATTATCTGGATTATCCACGGATGTGTATGCTGCTACCATATTCCCAGTTCTCGTATCAGAATGCAAAACTTGACCTACACCAAAATAATTAGGTTTTTTTTGGAATACAGTCTTGGAATCACCAATTCCCGCACTAAAATTATAGCAAACAGCTTTACCATGATGAGAATCATCTGGATCAGGCTCGTGCTTCATTCCATTGATAATATGATTGTCAGGGTCCAGCTCACCATTAAGTTCATTTGTACTATAACTAGAATAATCAAGATCCAGCTCTTGATTTAATTCAGACCCTCCCAGCTTGTTTGCAGAAACGTTAGCCAACCTATGGCAAGCAGCAGCAACTGAAGATTCTCGTGCACTAATTAGCTGATCTGTCCTGTTACCTCCAATCTTCTGAGGAATAGTGCTACCGTCAGCTATAACGTTGTCTTCATATGTTGCAGTATTCCTTACTCCACTCAAAGTGTAGCTTGCAGATCTAGTCCAATCTAAACTAGACGCTTCTTGATTTAACTGCAAATGAAAAAAACTAAATCATCATATGGCACTAAATCAGAGCAAATAATAGACTGACAGCCAAACACTCAAGCATGATCATGCACCTGCTTATCCAGAGCATAAAAGTTCACATCATGTTCAGAGTATATCATGTGTGCCTGAAATAAAAATATGTTGGTTCAATATCTTCCATTTGTCAAATGGACAGTCGAAATTTATGTTTTTCCTTATTTTCATGATTAAAATACTTCAGGATCCATAGAAAAAATAAATTATACTTCCTGTGTGTTATAGCTTACAAGTTCATGCAGTAGAGTTTTCTTAATACTTTCGTATTTCCTGAATCCTTTGAGGTCATCAGTTCGAAGGCGCAAAGATATTTCCTCTCCGTGATTCTGTAATAAGAATGAAAACAAAAAACAGAAATCAACAACAGGACAATGACAGATACGTAAAATGTCATGTTTTATCATCCTGTAGAATCCAATACCTTGTTAAAACCAAGAATGCATTTTGGGTCCACACCAACATAACCAACTGGAGCCATCTCGGTCATAATTCCAACACGCCATCGATGCTACATAAGATGCAAAAATTATTCAGAACACGCAGCATATTTTCATTATACAACAAACATATATTGGTTCAATAAAAATATTTGGGTATGTGCAGCATACCTTGTTCATGACAGCAACAATTCCAGGATCTGCAGCAAGCATGTGCATTCTTTTAAGTGCCTCGGAAGGGGGGGGATTCAACTGAAGTAAGGGAAAGCAAAATTCAACCATGATCATTTGACAAGCCTATATTAAATATTTTACATCATGAGAAAGGCCAAGAATATAATGGAAAATAAATAACCAGTCTACATGGAAATCTTGTCTAGATTTGGATCTATCAACTAAGGGAATAAGGTGTGCAGGCTAAAGAAAGCCTTGTACAAACTCAAGCAGACACCCAGTGCCAAGTTTGGTAGCATGGTCCAATGTGGAGACTGAATTTTGAGCTTTGGCACAAGGGGTGTTTGGGTTGAATGCTACTTTGAATGATCTTCAACTAAAATGTGAAGAACCCATGACTCTCTTTTGTGACAATAAATCAGCTATTAATATTGCTTACAGTCCTGTCCAACATGATATGATAAAGCACATGAAGATAAATCGACACTTCATCAAAAACAAACTAGATAATGGCCTTATATCTACTTATTACATCCCACCAAGACATCAACTATCAAATTTGTTTACTAAGAGATTTTCACATAATGGTTTCATGATCTTACATGCAAGTGGGGAATGATTTATATTCATTCACCAGCTTGAGGGGGAGTGTCTAGTTAGGAGAAGATATTAATTAGTTACAAAAAGATATTATCAATTATTGTAAACATATTGTAAGAATATGAAGAGTCATTATTAATTATTATAATTATTTTTAGGGTGGTAGAGTTCTCCATATAATGAACTTCCTAATACTGTCTAAATTAAGAAATAGGACTAAAGTTTTCTCTTTTCTTCAGTCTCTCTCGGTATCTCTTTCAAGTCTAGTTACTAGTAACAATGTAAACGCAGGAGTATAAAGAATAATAGATAAATCTCAAAGTTGAGAGATTCTGTTCTGGAGCACAAACAATAATAATCATACAGCAATATAGTACCTCTACTCCTGGAATTTGAAGTGTGCGAAATTCACAAAATATATACTGCCCTTGTGGTAGTTTCAATGAAGTATGAGCTCCATGTGAAATTCTCTGTTTCATTCTCTTCTCTTCATCCTCAAATCCAGCTATTCTTAAATCTGTTTTTGAATTTTGAAGAACCTCTTCAACCTCATTTGTTGACACACCCATCATTATAATTGACCTGGCCTGGCGAGTAAAGATAGTGACTTAAGGGAACAGTATGCCAAATAATTTATTCAACATACCCACCGTTTCCAATGGTACAATGGTGCTACTTACAAGCATTGATAAAACAAACAAAAAAGACTTACACGAATAACTAATTCAATTAATCCCTATTGTGAATAAATGAATTAGGATAAGAACATAAACATCACAAGTTTCACTGTAAAGTGTTCCTCAACAGAAAGGCTAATTGCAAGAATCAATATTAGTTTGACCTTCAATCAAATAGCATAGTAACATACCAAAGTAACTTTTTTCCTCCTATATTCAAAATATCGAGTGCAATTGCAATGGAAGGAATAATTATAAAATGATAAAATAGTTGGTAGAATAGTTAGTACTAATAACAGAAAATCATTTCACCGAAATAAAAAAATAAATAGATAATGACAGTAACAGAAAGGAAAGTAGAGAAGGACTATCTCAGCTGAGATATTCTCAAGAGCAATACTCATTACAGAGAGAGTAAATCTTCCTCTACAGTGGCTACAGATAATGTCCAAGACATTCTCAAATGCCACACTCCCAATACCTGTGAGACAGAAAATCTATAACTAACACTCCCCTTCTGATGTCCCATAGACAAAAACTAAATAACTAACACATCCCATGCTTCGTACTAAGCTTAATTTGTAACTCATATCACCATTCCACCAGCTTTGGGCCACCTTTTGTTTACAACTTCTTATGACAATTGATCACTAGGTTCAGGCTCTCACTCCTATCAAAATAGCATATCAAAAGTCTTCTGAAGAATGTATGTCAAACAATCAATTTCAATTCCCGGGATTAGAGGTTCCATCAAGGCAGTTAATGATTTTTCTCGTTCAAATAAGAAAAATATTTATACCTGAATTTTATATAAACAGAACATAAGTATTATGAAACTGTGGTCCAGTGGACTAGGGGAAAACCGTAGCAAAACCCAAAAGAACCTATTAAGGAAAATCAGCTAATACAATGCAATGATTCATAGAATAATAAAAACTATATCCATATGAATGAAGCCACTAAGAACAATATTTTTCATGTGGTTAAATCTTAACCCACATGATTCAGAATATGAGAAATGGCGGTACCTCAGTAATTGAAGCTTCCTGCAGACTTAAAAGTGCATTCTCCGCAGAAAATGGGGCCAGCAATTTTGACGTTTTGCCAGAAATCTGTGGAACAATGAACCGCATCGTATCTTCATTGATATTTGTTAACTTTTGCAATTCCTGTCCTAGATCCTTCACATTGGCACCTGTATTCATCTCTACAACAAATTTTTTTCCCCTCCATGTAACAGAGATGTTAAGGGGGCTCGATTGAGGTTGCATATTTGATCTACAAGAATCAAAATCAAGCCTAGTCATTTTCCACTGATTATATTTTTGGTGGTAAAAACAGTACCCCAGAAGGAATATAATAGACACCTAACACATCTCTCTATTTCTGGTGTGAGTAAAGGGATACACTTAAGGTGAACTAGCCGAGTTAATTAACCCCAACCTTTAAGAAAAATCCCCATCCCATATGATTACCAATATTTGAAAAATTAAATTAAACAAATTTTGTATGGGGACGTCTAAAACTCCGTGAGCAGCTAGGGATCCCAGCCCCGGAAATTTTCACAAATTGAACCATAATTCATAAGATAGTAAAGTCAACAACTTCATATAGATACACATACAACCAAATTTCAGAAAATTTAATCATATATCAAACCAACACTTGACAAACTTTAAGAGATTCACAACTTCCGTAACCAAATTCTGGAAAATTGAAGAAATCCATATGAGAATTCGTAATTCAATGCCCACTTCAGACCACAAAACCGATAGACTTAACAAAACAGAGAATTCACATGATCAGAACTGAAATTGCGTCAAATTAAAGGCAGGAGGACAATTGATTTACCCGACGCAAAGGAGTGAAAATTTGAGGAGAGGGCAATCAAATTATAGGACAGGGGAGATGGACGTATGCGCTGAGCATATCCACACCAAATAGAAGAATCTAGAATGATGCCTATTTATATTTTGTTATTAATTAGTTAATAATTATTAACTAATCCATTACAGTATTACTAAACAAGTGGAAGTCAAAGGGGAGTAAATAAAATGGACCAAAAATAATACTTATTATTAAATTCTGCGGCGGTTCTCAGGTAACAATTTCGATGAGTTTAAAAAACGATAATATAATTTTTTATAATTAATTTTTTTAATATTATTTTAATTTTTTAAATGTATTCATTTTTTATTTTTTCTCATAATTTTTTATTTTTAAAATATATAAATTATAATAGTTATTTTTTATTTAAATTACAAGTTTTTTTCTTCAATATCATTAAAAAATAATTGTTTAAGAATTTTTTATATAAATTTATAGATATTTATATGAAATATAATTTATCTTTTATATAAATATAAATTGTATATTAAATATTATTACACAATATCTTGTCACAACTAAAGTTATTCGATCCGGAAAGAATTGTATTAACCTTTTATATAAATATAAATTATAGATTAAATATTATTGCACAACACCTTATCACAAATAAAGTTATTCAACCGGAAAGAATTGTATTAACCCTTTCAAGAAAGGAAGAACACTTTCTAAAAAAAAAGTTAAAATCATATGGAGTTTGATAAGATAAATTTTTGTCTTTCTCTTTCTCTTTTCTATTAGTTCTTGGTTATGACATCTATTTCAATTGAATTTTCCTCCTCCAAAAATGTTTGGTCCTTATAATTTTTTTTAATCCTCGTTGCAATAATATACTTCTTCAGGTATTGTCGAATTAGCCTTTATTTATTTTCATTGGTAAAAAAAATAAAAAATATTGTCATAATCAATTATGTTTAGTTATATAATTTTAAATTGATTTATACAAAAATAACGTGGGATTACATGAGAAAAGTCATTTTTTATTGTAAAAAAAAATAACCTAAAAAGTCAGTCGAACATGTGACAAAGTATTTAAATAAATCCTAAATTTGAAATTAAATTTTTTAATTAGAATATTTTATTTTAAAAAAATTAGTAAAATATTAAGTATATATAAAAATATATAAAAAAAATTATTTATTTATTTTAAAAGATAATAATATAAGAATAATTAACTTATTTATTATATTGATATTTATTTATAATTTATATATAAATTAACTGTATTTTTAACCATTTTATTAAATAATTATTTATATTAAATTATATCTATCTCAATTTTATTTTTTATATTTTTTTAATAAAATTATGTAAAAAATATTTTAATAATTCCTCATTTTATCTTATTATTTAATATTTTTTTAATCAAATTAATCTTATCTCTTATCATCTTTTTACTAATTTCTCTAATCTTTTTATTCTCTTTCTCGGTCAAAACCTGACTTTTTACTTTTTTTTTCTTTCCTTTTCCACTCTCTTAAGTCTAGTTATCAATCCAAAGATAAATATAATGTCACAATTAAAAGTCCCTCTCACCTATAACAAATTTTCAATTATTTTCATTTATAAGTATGAGAAAAAAATCTTACTAAAATATTTTAATTAAAATTGTGAAACAAAAATTAAGATAAATTATTAATTATATATTTTATAATTATTGATTAATTATATATATATATATATATATATACACAAAAATATAACTATTTTAATATATTAAAAATCAAAATAATAAGTTACAATTAAAAAAAAAATTGAGAGTTCTTTCATGAAAAAACATACATTGTTTTTATATATTTTTTGAATTTATAATTTTTTTCATTATTTCATATATTTATAATTTAATATAGTTTTAGGATCTCAATATCATAATTTTCTTTGCGTGTTATTTTCTTAGTTTAAAGTATCATTATGGTTTATTTTTCCTAATCAAGAGTATCATCTTGATTTATTTTTCCTACTCTAAAATGTCCTGTTTTTTTTTTCTAGTCCAAAATATTTATCATTCTATTTTTCCTAGATCCGTGTTTATCAAGAAATATGACATCTTACTTATAGACCTTACTGACAAAATTTATGTGAGTTCCAATTCAAGATATTTGTCAAAGATAAACATTTCTAGAATCATGTTGATGATATCACTCCTAATCCTAACAAAGACTATCATTCATTAGAATATGTCCAACTTCCAAACCATCAATGCAAGTTCTTTAAACTTTGATTTTCCCTCGATGTCATCCTCACTTGAAAACCAATCCTTTGCTATATAGTCTTGAGTGCTAGATCCTCCTTGTTATCATTGATTTCCATCTCAGACAATATATTTGTCTCTAGCTAATGCTCTCTTAGTTTCCGAAACAAAGAGGAAATGTTCTGTTAAGAAAACTGTAATTGAATATGATCTTCATCCTAATGATCAAACATATATCTATAATCCCATACTGAAAACATGTTATATAAACTAAATGCGAAAGCGTACCTGAATTAGCCATAATATTCTTTGTAGAGCACCTTTGAATTGATTTTATGGTCTTCCACCTGAAGAGCACCTGTATTTCCCTATGGATTTTCTCTCTTGATGGGGATAGAAAGAAAAGAACAGGACTGTATCTGTATTCTGTCTGTGTGCTCTCAGAAGGGGACCATGACCCTTTATATAACCAAAATTAGGTTAATTACTTAAGTTTTAGTATTTTCAATTTGGCCCCTCATCAAATTAAAAATTACTCTATGGTCTCTACACAATTATATTTTCATGACATATGCCTTTAGCCAAAACTTTAATTTATTCAGATCACTTTATTATTTGGCTTAATAAATAATGACCCTAACACATTTAAATATGTATCATATATATACGTGACCCAAATTTTGCTAACAATCTCCCACTGGTCACAAATATATATGTCCTTACAACCTTACAAATGTGTTAGACTTTATGAGCTCAAAAATGTCATTATATTCCTTTAGCATATTCAAAAGTCTTGTCCATTAATCATATCAGGATATAGAACCAGACCAGCTTTTCATTGCATCATCGCAACTAAAACCAACAAGATTACTCATCCTGACATAACCAAATGACATGGATTCATCATGAAATGTGTAGCATGAAAAATTACGTGAAGGTGATCTGTACACGTCTATTTTCAACTGGTCCAAACTTTAACTTATCGAGATCGATACAATAACCTTAATGTACAAAGTGTAATGAATGAACAAGAAAACCGCATATCTATAGATAATCAAATATGTCCAAAAAAAACAATGTATACATATATAAAACATAGAACATAAAATATATGAAAATGACTAACTCCCACTAAACCACAAATTCCTCAAACTGTAAAACACCCATGTGAGCAACATGCTCATGAAAGACCTTGGGCGAAAGTCCTTTAGTTAGAGGATCTCGCTATCATGGAGTTTGTCCCTAAATGTTCTATGGAAATCATGTCCACTTTGTACTCTTTCCTTAACGACTAGGAACTTAATGTCGATGTGTTTCGACTTAGTCGAACTTCTGTTGTTGTTGGAATACAATACAGCTGATTTGTTGTCACAATATAACTTAAGTGGTCTTTCAATGCCTTTCACAATTTGCAGCCCTGTGACAAAATTTCTCAGCCATATTCCATGATTCGACGCCTCATAGCATGCTACAAATTCTCCTGCCATAGTGGATGAAGCTGTAAGGGTTTGCTTGACACCGCGCCAAGAAACCGCACCACCTGCTAACATGAAAATGTAACTCGAAGTGGATTTCAAACTATCTTGACATCCTGCAAAGTCCGAGTCGAAAACCCAGCGATCTCCAACCGGTCCGACCTCCCGTATGTGAGCATGTAATCTTTTGTTCTCTTTAAATATCTCATGACCCTTTTTGCCGCTTTCCAATGGTCCATTCCTGGATTGCTTAAATATCTCGCCTAGAACCCCAACTATGTATGCTATGTCTGGACGCGTACATACTTGGGCATACATCAAACTCCCTACAGCTGATGCATAGGGAATCTTTTGCATTTCCTCAATTTCTAAATTTCCTTTTGGGCACTGATTGAGACTAAACTTGTCTCCCTTAGCAACTGGAGTATCCCCGGATTTACATTCATGCATGCCAAACCTTTTAAGAATTTTTTCGATATAGCTCCTTTGTGATAATCCTAAAATACCCCGACATCGATCTCGTGTATCTCGAATTCCTAATACAAAAGACGCATCACCAAGATCTTTCATTTCGAAATTCTTTGATAAAAATTTCTTGGTTTCGTGCAATATGCCTATATCATTAGTGGCAAGTAGAATGTCATCAACATATAAGATCAGGAAAATATACTTACTCCCCTTAAACTTGTGATATACACAATCATCAACAATATTCATCTCGAAGCCAAATGAGAGAATTACTTGATGAAATTTA